TGTCCCTGGGACACCTTCCATCACTCCAGGGACACCTTCCAGTGTCTCAGGGACACCTTCCATCACTCCAGGGACACCTCCACTGTCTCCAGGGTCACCTTCCTCTGTTTGGGGACACTTTCCTCTGTCCCCTGGGACACCTTCCACCACCCCAAGGACACCTTCCACTGTGTCCAGGGACACCTTCTACTGTTCAGGGAAACCTTCCACTGTCCCAGGGACACCTTCCAGTGTCTCAGGGACAACTTCCATCACTCCAGGGACACCTTCCTCTGTGTCCAGAGACACCTCCACTGTCTCCAGGGTCACCTTCCTCTGTTCGGGGACACTTTCCTCTGTCCCCTGGGACACCTTCCACCGCCCCAGGGACACCTTCTACTGTCTCCAAGGTCACCTTCCACCACCCAGGGAAACCTTCCATACCCCAGGGACACCTTCCACTGCCTCCAGGGACACCTTCCATCACTCCAGGGACACCTTCTTCTGATCAGAGACACCTTCCACTATCCCAGGGACTCCTTCCACCAACCCAAGGACACCTTCCTCTGACTGGGGACACCTTCCTCTATCCACAAACACCTTCCATTCCCCAGGGACACCTTCCATTGCCCCCAGGGACACCTTCCATACCCCAGGGACACCTTCCACTGCCCCAAAGATAACTTCCATCACCCCAGGGACACCTTCTACTCCCCAGGGACATCTTCCACTGTCCCCAAGGACACCTTCAATTCTCCCAGGTTGCTCCAAGCCCCATCCAGCCTATCCTGGGTATTTCCAGGGATCCAGGGGCAACCACGGCTGTTCTGGACAATCTCTGCCAGGGTCTCCACACCCTCACAGCAAAGGATTTCTTCCATTTCTCTAAACTAAATTTCCCCGAGTCTCTCTCCAGCTTATTCCAGATGCTGGAAAGCTGCTGTGGGCTCTCCACACAACCTTCACCACTCAACCTTCTCCTCACAACCTTCCCCACACACACAACCTTCCTCACACAACCTTCTCCCCAGCATTCCCAACCTCTCCTAGGGAAGGTGCTCTAGTTTCCACATCAGCTTCGTGGTGACCCTCTGAATTTGCTCCAATATGAAACATTCATACATAATATCATATATATAATAAATATATATTAAATAAAGCACCACAGACCGAGCTAAACCAAAAACCTGCCCGTGAACCCCCACCCAAGCCCCCCTCTCCAAGCTCCAAGCTGCCCTTGGTGTCTCCCCTCAGCATCTTTCTCCCTCTGCCCCAGCTGGATCCAGGTTAAAGGATGTTTTTCCTGGGATGTCGCTCTGGGAGGAGCAGCAGGAGCAGTGGTGCCTCTGGTGCCTAGTTTAGGGCAAATTTGGGGAAAACCCTCTGGAAGGAGCCCTCAGGAAACAAATCCCCACGGCCCCTCCCCACCCACCTGGTTCGGGAAAAAAATTTCCTCTGAGAGAAGTGGAAAAGAACCTGTTTATTTCACAAACAAAGCACTCCCAGCACCAAAGAAAATAACAACACCAGATGACAACAAAACTCCTTCACCACTCTGAAAAGGTGACAAATCCAGACTTTCCTGGGAGTGGTCGCTGGGGATTGCTCTGGGCACTGGGGATGGATGCTGCAGATCACAAAATGCAGGCTCTGGGTGCTCCTCGGGGTTTCCAGGGTGGATGGTATTCAGGAAAAGGAAAAGGGAAAGGAAAAAAAAAG